GTATGTTAAAAAGTGTTATGATGAACATTTTCTAAAAGTTTTAATGATTTTTCATAAATGATTGTTCATCATAATGAGTTTTGGTCAAAATTGGTTTTAATGCTTTATTTTTACAATTTTTTTATTTTTTAACCTTAATTTAAATGTTTATATATGTAATTTATTGTAAACAATCTCTCTAACAATTGATATCAATTTTTCAAATGCATAATATTTTTGGATAACTTTATGCATATGCACTTGAATACAATATTTGGTTTTGCATAAAGTATTTTAGATGTGTATCTTCGTTGAAATTCAATTTTTTTAAGTGTCAAGCTTTTAAAGTCAATTTTTTTTTGTTTGGAATGCACTTTTGAGGGGGAGTTTTGTTTTTGTTTTCCAAATGATTTTATGCTAAAATTTACCACTTACTCTCCATTGTTATTTTTGAACTTTAAAGTTGAATTATTTTTTATATGACAAAAAGGGGGAGAAGTATAGGTTTGAACAATTCAATTTCTCAATGAAAAAGGGGAAGCTTTAATATTTTCTAAAATATGTTTCTTTTTCATTAAATGTTTTATTAAATGGGAGTTTTGCCAAAACAATTTTTTCAAATGTTTTTGTTATATCAAAAAGGGGGAGATTGTTGAACCATGTTTTATAAGATTTTGATATAACAAATTAAATGCAAAATGTTTTTGGACTTGATTAAATTTGTTCAAAGTTTTTTAAAAATAATTCAAAGTCCATGAAACTAAAATTTGAGCAAAAACAGTTTTTCACGTACGTGCTACTGATATTGTTCTTAATATAGTATCGACACTGCTCTTGTGGTACCGATACCAAAGGTAAGAGAAGTATCGATACTCTCTAGGTAGTATTGATACTACCAGTTAGCTCAAATTCCAGAATGCAAAATAGGTACTGATACCCAAAGGGGTATCAATACTACTTTACATAATAGTATTGATACCATGATCATAGTATCGATATCGTCAAGCCCAATGTTCTTTAACGGCTAGTTTATTTAAATATAACAAAGGAAGTACTGATACTCATTAAATGAGTATCGATACTCCCTGTTCTGTGCAGTTTTATTTTGCATAGAAAACATCCCCAACGGCTAGATACGATCAAAAAACACATTACAACCTATAAAAATAAGTTCAAGACACTCGAAGAAGGTTGGAACACCCATCCAAGCAGCTGAGATTAAGAGAAGCTTTCTGACTCTTATTTTTCTTTTTTCTCTTGTAAATATGTGTTTGAGCTCATTGTAAATCTTTTAACTGTTTTCCTTGTGAGCTTAATCTTTGGAATCACCTTCCTTTTAAGAGGTTTTTATTGTTTACATTTTATTCCTTGTGTAAAGGGGATTGGTTCTAGCTTAGCCTCTAAAAGATAGGGAGTTGTAAAGGTTATCTCTTGATCCTTGAAAAATAAAGAACAAATTAGTGAATTTGTTGAAAAATCCTAAGTGATGAGCTTAGGTAGTGGATGTAGACTTCATTGAGAAATTGAACTACAATAAATCCTCGTGCATCAATTTTCTATCTCTTAAATCTCCTTACTCCCTAAAATTTCTTAAATTGCCAATTCACCCCCTCTTGGCACATTTTTTGTTGCTCAATTAAGCTTCTTCAATCCTAACAATATATTTGATATCTAATTGGTTAAAATAAATATGAATAAATAGTTATTAATTAAATTAAAATATAATTATCAAAAAATTATTACATAAAGTTAACATGTGAATTATGCAAATAAAAAAATAAAGTTGATAAAAAATTTCATAAAAAAAATTATTTTAGTTTATAATAATAATATAATGTCAATACATATCGGACATCAATTGAATTAACAAAATAAACAAAAAATATTGTTGTAAGTAAGAGCACACAAAGGTGTCTTTAAAATAAATATATATTTAGTCCTCATATTAAAAAAATGTTATCCCTTGAATTTTTTTTACACTCAATGTGACCTTTAAACTGAGAAAAAACTATTTAATCTTTTGATCAACATAATCAAATTGTCACGACGCTTACATGACAATTTAAATCTTACATGAAAATCTACAAAATTAATGTGGCAATTCAAGATATTGTTTTAGCAGTACACGATGAATAATGATATGATAAATGTATTTAATTTATTTTTTTTACTAAGTCTGAGGGCCTAATTGATTTTTTATAAAGTTTTATGACTTATTTAGTTTAAAAAAAATAAGGTATTGTTAAAATTAAAATATAAATAAATATTAAGATATTCAATACACTAAATATAAAAGTACTATAAAATTAAATTATTAAAAAATTGGTTTAAGAATCAGTATAGAAAAGGTTCAGGGATTATACTGTTTTCTTACAAACGTTTTGGTGGTTTTAGATACTATTAAATCAAAAAACAATTATTGTTAAAATGATTTGAATTGTGTAAGTTAAGTTAAAAATCTAGATAAATATTTTTCTATTTTTAAATTTTAAAATAATTTTAATAAAAATACTGAAAAAATATCTTTTTTATGTTTTTATTTTTTTTATTTTATAGTAATCATTTTGTAATTTTACAACCACGTTTTCTTCAATATTTTCTACTTTTTAAGAAAATGAAAATAGTTTATATTTTCTAGAACCAAAAAGACGTTTTTATGTTTTAAGATATAGAGAGTAAATCCCAAAGTTTGTTTAAGTTCGAGGACTGACGACAGATTTTAGCCTAAATTAAAAAACAGCCCACCACAAGCAATGTGAAGCATAGCTAAATACAGGTCATAACTGAATATGTTTTGAACTGCAAAAGGTCAATCAGTAATTATATAATTCACGTTTGATTTTTTATATTATATTAATAGTGGATAAGTAGTGCTAAAACAACCACCACCACAACAACAACAATAATAATAATAATAATAATAATAATATTGCATTTGTTTTGGTCAGATTCTTACTAAAAATATTAAGAAAAATTTATTAATAAATGATATAACGTGACTGAGTAGTAAAATAGTATTATTTATTAAATACAGATCATAGGGATAGGAATTGATTTTTTTTAACAAAGCCAATTGGTTTTTCGTTTCCTGGTATTGTGTTTTTTTAAGTATATAATGATATTTTTTTAAAAGAATTCATATTAAATATAAACAACACTTTAATATTAATATTATTCAAAAAATGATATCAATATTAATATATCTTTTAATAAAAAATTGTTGCTGGGAACTGGAAAAAGATGGAGTTACTGGGCCATTAGTTTTCATGGAAAGCTTTTTGTGAACCAAGCCAATAAAATGGAGCTATTGAAATGGACAATTAATGTTTTGAGAATTTTCTCCAGTCCCGAGTTTATCAATTGTGTGAGCCAGGCAAACATATTAACATTTTGAGGGTAATTGTCGAATATAACTAATGGCCCAATTGTAGTTGTAGGCTAAGAACTGGGAAAGCATGGAGTTACTGGGCCTAGGGTTATAAAGGCCCATTTTTCGGATAATCCGAAACTGAGATTTTTCTGATTCGTATCCGATCCGATTAGCTAAAAAGTTTTACCGGATATCCGATCCAAATTATCCAAAAAGAAACTTGGATCGGATCATCGGATAAACGGATCGATCAGATATTTTTACACACACCTAATTATAAGATAGTATATGTTTAAAAATTTTGAAATTAATTAATAAGTAATTCACCTTTCAAATACCGTTATTTGAATGTGAAACATTTAGGGAGAACAATATTCCCATTCCATACAACCAAACCATAATTGCATTTTCTATAAAGAAAGTATAAATTGCTAATTTCGTACTGGTACTTTATATAATATTTAAACCATCGACAAACCATCCCGGAGGACGTTGCCTGCTTAAGAAAACAAATAAAACAAAGGGTAAATTACAAGTTTAGTATATCAACTATTACTTTCGTTCCATTTTTGTACCTAAGCTTGAATGTCCTTTAAAACCATACCTAACGTTTAGTTTAAGTTTCAATTTGATACTCCACTGTTAAAAAATTAATAGAATTGCTAATGTGAGATTGCTTTTATTTTTGGTTTAATACCAAAATAAGTGCCTAAGCTATACTATTTTCCCAAATAAGTGCCTAAACTAATTTTTGTCTCCAGGTGCCTAACGTTACAAACTTTATCCATTTAGGTGTATGTGCTGGTAACGGTGTTAATTTTCCCGTTAAATGACACGTGTTACATCTTGATAATTTTAAATTTTTTATTTAAAAATAAAAAAAATAATATATTTTTTTAAAAATCATAAAACACAAATTTTGAAAGAAACTTAAAACTTTGAAAACCTTCATTTCAACCCCTAAACCCATGTCGGCCACCGCCTTTTATCGTTGACGAAACTCCACCCGACCTCCCTTCCCCCAGCGACCAAAACCCCCATGAAACATGATTGATCGACGACAAATCAACATTTTAAACCACTTGAACCCTAGGATTAAAATCGCGATTCCACGCGATTTCGACGACCAATCGTCGAAAAATACGACGGTGTATGAGTAGGAGGATGGCAGGGGCTACATCGGTGGCAATGGCCGTGACCGAAAAAAGCGACGACGACGAATTAAGGTTAAGATTTGGTATTTTGGGTTATTTTATAATATAAGAAAAGTTCGTGATTTTTTTTTATAAATATCATAATATTTTTAATATTTTATTTTAAAAAATAAATTTCAAAATACCAGATTATAACAATTTTCATTTAACGGCAAAAATTAACGTCGTTTACAGCCTGGGCACTAAACGAGTGACAACTGTAACTTAGGCACCAGGATGAGATGAAAATTAGTTTATGCACCTATTTAGGAAAAACGGTATATTTTGGGCACTTATTTTGATATTAAGCCTTTATTTTTTCAACAATGATATGACATTATCTTACAGTGACATGTCAACAACACCGTTAAATTTTTAAAAGTGGATACCAAAATGAAACTTAAACTAAACGTTAAACATAATTTTGGGGAGAAAAATATAAAGTTCAAGTACCAAAATGAAACAAAAGTAATAGTTTATATACTAAATGTGTAGTTTACCCCAAAACAAAAGATACATTCGGAGACACCACACGAATGGAGAAAGTTGGCAAAAGCACGTCATAAGCAAACTGAAACTATCAGAGTTGCAAAAGAAATATATACAGTGAACAAAATGAAATGAAAATAACAGAAGTCTTGGTACAAACCTACTGCAACCTCATTCTCTTCTTTTCCTCTAATGCATTTGATGGTTGTGTCTCTTTCGACTTTCTGCTGTTCACAAACTGTGAGAAAGACGGAATAGGGGGCCGCTTTGTATGCATTTGCAGGGGCAAAGGCTCAATTGAAGCCTCTGACTCGATGTTCCCACGACATTGTTCCCCAGTAACTTCTTTTTCTTCTTGTCTTCTCTTATCATGTAGCGGAGTTGACACCGTTATAGGAGAAGGTTCTTCCTTGTGAGTAATGATCACCGAAGGAGATGTGATGCTGGTACCGATTTGATTTGCTATATCTGCAGCAGAGCTTGTTGTAGATAGCCACCTTATCTTACTAGCTACTTGCGAATAATAAAACGATTTCCCGCTCTTCCCGTATTTCTTAAAGCACTCATTTTCAAGGATGGTAGATGACGCTTCAAAATCAACCCTACATAGCAAGTACAAGGACGATGCATCATTTTCCACGTTTGATTTCCTTTTAATAAAACTAAGATAAAGGACGAATGCACTTGAAAAATGTACACATACTTCAAGTCGCCAAGCCGCTGATGAGCCTGCTTCAGGGCATCTAATAATCTTTGCTTGCTTGATTCTCTCAGCATTGCGGATATGGCATTGTCAGGTTTGTTAACCTATTCAGTACAGATACGATGTCAAGCATCTTTAAGGATGAAATTACTAACTGATCGTAAGTGATTCAGTCTCAAATTTTGATTTGCATTGGCAACCCTCTGTTGAAGTCGAATGAAAGCGGCATTCAAGTTTCTACCCAAAACCAACCATTATGGTCCGTATGACCAAAGAATACAGGTAGAACAAACCTGTTTATCACGAGATTTGTTCTGATAATAGTTTTCTTCTGCACGCTGCAACAATTCGATCTTCTCGTTTATCTCTGATTTTTTTGAAAATTTGGATATGGATATGCTTTTCGCAACCTCAAATCCATCTAGAAATTAAAAGATGAAACAAGTAAATTAATCAAAAAGTTTTTCTTTCCTTATCGATTTGCAGGAGGAAACCTAAGCCCCTAAATCAATGCTGATATTTATTACAAATTCACTTACCATCGGAATCAGATATATCTTCCTCGGAGCCACTGGCCTCATCATCATGATTCCAGAATTCCGAGAACTGTTCATTTTCAATGGCATCTGCGGAGCTGAATTGTAAACACATGTATGAATAAACTCACAAGCACAATACTATTGACAGTTTGCACATGTACCTGGAAGCTAGGTCAACGAAAAAGCCTTGATTCCTCTACATTTCCAATTTCAATCACCAAGACTAATAACATTTGCTCTTTTCACAAGAATTAGAAATTAGTTATTTTAAAAAACACTGTTGCACTACACTCGCTTAACTACAAAGAACAAATTAGGGTATGGTTGTCTAAATATGCTTTAGGAAAGAAAAATCACAAGTAATTTAGTCTACTTAAGAGGAGAAACATCAATCTCATTCATGTACAAGATAGAGCAAAATTGCCAACAGATTGCACAGAGAGCCTTGTGTGGTCATGTTTAAAGATTCAGTAACAAACCGATTTAGGCGAATGTCGTAAAGCTTCTCAATAATTGAATGCATGGCATTTTAATACAATAAGGGAGGAAACCTACCTGCTCATCAAGACTTTTGAGAAGCCATTTCTCTGGTGAACAGAGATAGCAGTTGTTAGCTCTTCCAGATACTTGGTGACGAGGTGTGGATTTTTGCAGGCATCACATGATTTTTTACAGAGTGATGCAGATACCTTTTTAGCCAATGATACATAAGTAGTTTTGCATCAGCGTCAACGATGATGGGGAAAACGATGGGGAAAAGCAGCCAACTATTGCATACACAGAACATGTTTCACCACAAATTCTATTACCTGTTCTCCAAAGCTCTCAAGAATCTTTTTCCTACGGCATCCAGAACCCTCACAATATTCAACCATCTGCATGTGTTATGCACTTCAATTTCATGAAAAAAGAGTAGCAAGGAGAGTTCACATTGTACAAGCAAGACTTCTACTGACCAGATTAAAATCAGACATTGACTTCTTTGATGGTCCCTGTTGTGAATTTGATGATTGCAATTTCTTGCTCTCTGCAATGCTAAGAATAAATTCCTGCCAAGTCATCCAATAAGCAGATAGATTCAAGTTACAAGAAAGCAAATCGAGAGCAATCAAAATGACATGGTTTTGAACTGGTGACCACCAACCATCCTTTTTCGATCATCCACTCCATAGTACAACAAGCTTCTAGAAGGCAACTGGTCACGACCAGCTCTACCCGACTCTTGATATAAAGCTTCCATTGATTTTGGGATATTGAAGTGGCAAACTATTCTAACATCCTTTCTGTCTATGCCCTAGAAATATTGACCCCAAGATATTAGAGGTAAATGGTATTCATCAATTCCAACAACAGTCCAGCAGTCAAACAATTGTAAGGAAAAATATCTTCATTGTTCAATGGGACAATTTGTAATATATTAGCTTACCATTCTGAAAAAATACCATCATATGGATAGCCATGTGCATACCAGATCAGCTCCGAGTATAAAACAAAAAAAGAAGGAATTCATCACAATCTAATGTAAGTTGCAGTGCAGGTAATTAGAAGTAAAATAGAAAGACACACTAACTTTAAGAATGCCTTCCTCTGAATATCTATTGCCAGTTTCTTGGCAGGAGGCTCCAATTTACAACCTAATTTTGCTATTATTGTTTGAACTGTACTATACACTGTTTCAAAGATGAAACAGACAAGTACATGAAAGACAAAAATGTGGCCACTTTTACTATATATCCAGAAGGAGAAGATCAGAGAAAGTTCAATATCAAGTAACTTTTTTGGTTTTTTTAAGTAAATTTTTTTAACTATACCCAAAAGCTACTGTGGCCACAACAACTTGTATCTTGGAACAAATCCAATCATCTAAGACAGAGCTCCGCAATTTATTATTTAACCCTGCATGATAGGCTGAAAAGGAAAGGTAAAATTAAAACATACCATGTGATAAAGGCCAATGATTAAGGTTGAGGAAAAAAGAAGTATCAGTTACCGGCGCAGGAAATTCCATTTTTGTAAAGATGAGTGGACAAGTCATCACAAGTTGTCCGTTCAAGGCAGTAAACAATTGCACAAGCATCTCCAGCGGATTTGAGAACATCACACAAGTCAGCATAAGTATCATCCAAAAGATCTTTATATCTAACTGCATTTTTGAGAAATCATCTTAGATGACAAGAACTGCATATAGTTCTCTGAGGAGCAATTGTGAGAAAACTAAAACCAAATTATTATACAACAACAAACTTTTGCAAACAAAAAAGTAAACTTAATGCCTATTGCTTATCACTTGTCAATAGCATCATCAGCACAAGCTTAGTAATTACCTTCATAGTATATATTTGGACGGTTGAAAGATGATCTAAGGACTAAAGGATTCTGCAAATTTAAGGAATCTATGACATCCTTCTGTACTCTGCAAAACGGGGAGAAAAAAATACCAATTTATTTCGTAAATTGGTTCTGACAATGTACCTCATGAGAAAAATCTACTAGCCTATTGGATCATGATGTTCTCCTCCCTTACAAAAGCAAAAAGTATATTAACAAACTCACTTAGGAACAGCAGTGGCAGTCAAAGCCAATATAGGTACATCTTGTATTTGGTTCCTCAAAGATGAAAGCTTACGATAGCTAGGCCTATAATAATACGTAAGGAAAAATAAGGATTGGAAACCTTCATGTAAGAGTTTACCGATAAAATAAACCTGATACGGGGATGCATATGCAGAAAACAATATTCGCATAGATTATAGCTTATGAAAAGTAAAAGATTTAAATACGCCTCAGCAAATAAAAATAGATTCAAATATGAGCATGTCACACACAGGCTATATATGAATAATGAAAGCATAAATTCAGGCTGAAGATTAATTGTTGTCTTTTGCAGTAATTTGCCATAGATCACTAAAATAAAATACTCAAATTTCTTTCCTTTTGATAGGAGCGATCACAAACCTGAAATCATGACCCCATGAAGAGATGCAATGTGCCTGGAGTTTTTCACAAAAGATGTAAAATTTTAGACGGAGACTTAAAGTCTTAAACATCTTGTCAAAAAAGCAGCAAATTCCAGACCAAAGTCATATGGTCAATACAAGTTCATACAAATCACACCTCATCCACAGCAATGAGATTCAACAATCCTCTACCATGAATCCTTTTAAGCTTTGACATAAACCCTGAAGTGGCAATAAGCTCTGGTGTCACATAAAGCAAGCGTATGGAAGGTTGTCCACTATCAAGATCTTCATGAATCTGATAATCAAAACAGGAACAAAAAAACAACAACATAGTAATATGTTCATTTCAACTAATCTCATCCACCACAAAGAATAAAACCAGTCTTTGTCATTGCGGCATAACATAACACGCTCAAGCTTAACAATCAGTGCCATAACTTAGATTACCTTATTCTTCAGCTGAGACGTTTGAGTTGAAGAGAGAAACTCAGCAGCAATTCCTTTCTCCTTCAATGCCGTTACTTGGTTTTCCTGATTAGCAAATTAAATTCAAAAAATTGAAAAGGCTTAGTTGCTGGAAAGAAAAAAATATTATACCAGAAGGAAGCTGTCATGCCATATACTTACCATCAAGGCTGCGGGTTAAATTGGAGAAACAAACGGGGAGAGTAAGTGCAATGTCCTTCCGATTTAAAACCACCCGATAATTATAGGGGGGGAAAAGAAGTTAAAAAACTTTCAATAAGCAAAAGAGAAAAATAAAATAAAATACATCAACCTATTAATGGAGAAATGACGAGCACAATTCCCTTTTTAGCCAAAGCAGGGATTTGATAACACATTGATTTTCCTCCCCCGGTCGGCATTAGGCAGAAACAATCTCTTCCTGAATAAAAAAGAAATGAGAAAAAATTCAAAAAAAAAAGACGATTTTGATGAAAAATTGACGATCAGAAGTACCTAATAAAACGGTTTCAATGGCTTCCAACTGGTTCCCTCTGAAGTCAGGATGACCGAAATTCCATCTCAAGAGCTTTACCAGAGCTTCTTTTCCACAGTTACGTTGCTTCTCTCTGCAGGTAAGGTTTTGCACCGGCAACGGCGATTTCTTCATTTTTCCAAATGTTCTTCGGAATTCAAGCTTTTGTTAAGATAGGTAATCAACGATGACTACTGTTATTGAAGAAGAATAAAAATTGAAGGGAGAAAATATTACCGAGTAGTTCTTCACCTGGTGTCGAAATTGGAGGCCGCCTTGCCTGCCCTCATTTTCTTTCAAATAATATGTAAAAAGAATTTGAGCTTTGTAACCCAAAAAATAATAATTTTAATATTTAGAGAACTGGTTTTTTTGCCCCAATAGGCTAAACCAAGAATTCATTTGGCCCAATAGGACACACCTATTTTTATTTTGGAAAATACGAGAAATGCTACGGTACAGGTGACCATTTTAATTTATTTGATAGGACTCGTCACCTCGACTGAAATTATTTAAAAAAAAATTTGTAAAATTATTAAAAAAAGAGTCCATTGAGAAATTATTTTTAAAAAAAATAGTTTGTAAAATTCTTTAAAAAACTAAATTAAAAAAACAATGGAACTCGTCACCTCGACTGAATTAACGAAAAACTAATCGTTTATAGTCGTTGTACAACAGGAGGATTTTTACTATCCATTATTACGAAAAAATTTAAGAAAAAAACGTAGTTTCTGAAGAATTCTCAAACATATCTTCCTGACAAGAAATGTTACGCCTTGATTATGTTCATATTTCGTCGTTCGAACTCCATCCGAAAGAAGAACGTGACATTCATCAATGCGAAATGACATCGAGAGATCCACAGAGGATAATTATATCTTCAGTAATCCGATCTGTATATAGCCACATTTCTGTGTGGTTTTAAGGTGAACCCGATGTTGATTTCGGCTCTTATTGAACATTAGAGGCGCGAATACTTTCCATTTTCCGAGTGGTGAAACGACGAATACTTTGGAAGATGTTGTAATACCCCGAATCCTGGGTCAGTAGTTTGGGTCAACCCGAGAACCATGAGTCGAGCCTATTAGATCTTCTAGACCAGTTTTTGAGAGTATTGGGCTTAAGTTCGCCCAGGAGTTAAAGGTTTGTGGTGGTTTTAAGTCGGGTTAAAAAGGAGAGGGACCAAATTAACAATTTACCCGTAGCTTGTTTTAAAGGATAAAAACCCCTTATAATAGGTTTTTTTCACGTGAACCAAAACCTTCATCCATTCCTCTTCTTTTCTCTCTTATTTTCCTCCACAATAGCAAGTTGAAAGGTGAAAGCTTTAAGATTCTCAAGCCTAGTTTGAAGCAACCAAGGTAAGAATCAAAATCCTCACCCTCCAAGCTTTCATTTAAGCCCTTAATCTTTAGTTTTGTGTGTGGATTTCAAAAATGGGTTTTTAGGGAAGTTAAGGAATTCAAAGGATTCAAGTTTATTCTAGTAAATTTGAGTTATTTGGAGTATCCTCAATACAATGACGACGAAGAAAGATCGAGATCTAAACAAAGATACAAGGAGACAAAGCGGGAAGCCAAGAAAACGATGGCTAAAGTAAAGGATAAGGCATACGAAGAAATGTACAAGAGATTAGACACTAAGCAATGACAAAACGACATCTTCAGGCTTGCAAAATCCAGGGAGAATAGGAAAAAGGATCTAGGTAGCATTAGGTTTATTAAGGACAACAATAGTGTTCTTTTAGTGAAAGATCATGATATTAAGAGGGTTTGGGGTAGTTACTTCTTCGGTTTATTTAATAACGGTGCCTTTCTCTGTAGAGATAGTACCGTTGATGGGTCAGTCGACCATCATACTACGGCCAATTACTGCCCTACAAGTAGGATTGGGTTTGAGGAAGTCAAAATGGCTCTCAGAAAGATGGGGAGGGACAAAGCTGTCGGTCCAGATCAAATTCCTATCACTGTATGGTTGGCCCTAGGAGAAGAGGGAGTTAAGTGGTTGACCAACATCTTTAATATTATTTTAGAGACTGCCAAGATGCTTGAGGAGTGAAGCAAGTCTACGGTGATACCAATCTATAAGAATAAAGGAGATCCCCAACGTTGTGGCAACTACAGAGGTATTAAATTACTCAGCCATACCATGAAGCTATGGGAAAGAGTGATAGAGGCTAGGTTGAGACAGGTTACTAGGGTTTCGAAAAACCAATTTGGCTTTATGCTAGGCAGGTCTACTATGGAGGCGATTCATCTACTTCCACGGCTTATGGAGAAATATAGGGAAAAAATAGAGATCTTCACATGGCGTTCATTGACCTTGAGAAGGCGTATGATAGCGTTCCCCGCGATACGATATGGAAGACCTTGGAAACAAGACGGATCTCATCTGCTTATATCTAGGCGATTCGTGATATGTACTGTAGATCTAGTACATACGTTAGGACTACAGTTGGCGACACTGAGGCATTCCCGGTGGAAATCAGACTCCACCATGGGTCGGCTCTTAGCCCTTACATTTTCACATTGATTATGGACGACATCTATTGTGCGACACCAGACGGTGTTCCATAGTGTATTCTTTTCGCTGACGACATTGTCCTAGTTGTAGAAATAAGAACTGAGCTGAATAGTAAACTAGCTACCTGGAAGACTGCTTTGGAAGAAAAAGGCCTAAGGATCAATATAGAAAAGACAAAGTATTTATGTTCAAACTTTAGTGGGAACCAAAACGATGAAGATGTAGAAGTATGCATAGAAGGACACATTCTCCCATCAAATGATTGTTTCAAGTACCTAGGGTCTATGATACATAAAGATGAGGTTGTAGATGATGACGTTACACACCGTATAAAGGCAGGATAGCTAAAGTGGAGGGCTGCTACTGGAGTTTTGTGTGACAAGAAGGTGCCTCTAAAACTTAAGGGAAAATTTTATAGAATGGCAATAAGACCAGCGCTATTGTATGGATCAGAATGTTGGGCAATCAAGAAGGATCACGTAAGGAGGATGGAGGCCGTAGAAATGAGAATGCTTCGATGGGAATGTGGTAGGACTCTGTGGGACATGATACCAAACTCTTCTATTAAGATGTCCTTGGGGGTGGTGCTTGTATCCGAAAAATTAAGGGAGGGAAGACTACGGTGGTTTGGGCATATCCTTCGGTGACAACCGTCAGATGCGATCATGAGGGTAGAGTCTATTACAGTCGACGGTGCCAGAAGGAGATGAAGACCAAGGAGGAAGTGGGAAGACTGCTTGAGGTCTGATTTGAAGGATTTAGCCCTTACCGAGGACATGACCTCTGATAGGAAAGTATGGAGACTTAAGACAAGGGTAGCCGAGTAGTACGGATCACATCCATAGGGTGTATCATCTCTGTCTTCTTTTAATTCGTTTGTATTAATTTCCATGACTTCTACTTTTTATACGTTTATGTCATTTGAATTTATGAAGGCTTAGAACTAGGGTAGCAGAGTAGTGTTGCCTTAGTGTAGGTTTTAACCCATTTGACTTTATTCCTTCTCGTAGCTTGCTATCGTTGACTTCTTATATGTATCATTCTCTTCATGTTTCTTCTTTTTAAATTTAGTCGGGTCTTACGTTTCTGTCTATATGCAGAGATTTTTAACGCAAGAATTTATTTGCATGGATTACTTCCCATTACATAAGCGCATATGAAAAATTCATATGAAGATTGTTCAACTATTTATTTATTTATTTATTTATTTATACATGCATTGTATTTTATCTCCATTTTTAATTTTCTGACTGCCGGAGGTCTTCCACGGAAGCTGCTCTCAAACTGGCGTTGGGGGCAGCCTACTACCCTACCTCCCCCTTACCCCATTATATATGGGAATAGGGTTTTATTGTTGTTGTTGTATAAGTTAGTAAACCTTTTTTCTTATCTTTGATTAGCTAAGGAGGTGGGATAAAGTTTAAGGGCTAGAGATAAAGTGAAAATGAATTCTAGTTAATTCGAGAGGAATTCTAGCACCCTAGAAAGCCAGTAACACACTCACAGCTTCCTCATACCAGTTATGGATCATTAGAAATGAGTTTTAACTAGAAAGTTAAGATTGAAACATGTTGAGTAGATTTGCATGGTAGATTCTTATTAAAGACATGTTAGCATGTTTTAAGCCTTCTTTATGACCCCCTCTAAGATCACATAAGACTTAATAATCAATGGGAACCTTAATAGAACAGTTTAGGGAGAGTTTTAGTGTCAAATTTGTTCCTAAACAGCTCCACCATGAGTTGACCAATCTGGTCGTCTTTATCGTCTTTTCAACCCGTCCATGGTCATCGTTGGTGTTTTCTTTGTCTGCTTCCTCTTCGTTTTATATCTGTCATTGTAAGAAACTCACGCTATGGCCATTGCGTCCTCGCCACTACAATTTCCTCTTCTCAAATGTTCTAATAAAAGGGTCTATAACCGACTATAAGCGAGGGTTTCCCCATTTTTTATGTTCTTATGTTAATGATCTCAAACTTGAGAGAGCAACACCGGAATTAGCTTAATGGATTTCAAAGTTTAAATAAATGGGCGTCAGTTTTCAAAGACTTTGCTCATGGTGGGCTTATGAACCGCCTATCAGTTTCCGCTGCTTGGAGTGCTGATTCCGGTGCATCCTCAACCCATAATTGATCGGAGGAGTTTCCACGACCAGTCGAGGCCGTTGCATGTGCTGTCGTGTTTCTGTTCTTGCTAATGAAGGTGAAGGTTGAGGGTTGGGATTGAGGTTGAAGTTTGAGATTAGAATTTAGTAATTTTAATTTTATTTTATTTTTTATTTTTAAATCTTGTTTGGCCTTAAAGATAATAATTTTTTATTTAATACTAATATGATGTGACCTGTTTAATATTAAATTATTCCACATCATTTAATTATAAGGGAAAAAATGGTCGAGTGACAAAAAATTAATGTATCAAGTGCAATGAATAAATTGAAGAAAAAAATTAAAAAAACAATGAGTAAAATATAAGGAAAAATTAAGTTTACTTACCAAAAACGTGTAATTTACCCAAGAAAAAAATTAAAGGTCGTTAGTGCCAATGACATGTTAATTACTTAATTATTAGTTTTTTTTTTAAAAAAAAAACATGTTAATTATTAGGGTAAACTACACGAGTGGTCCCTTATATTTTTGGGATGCTCGATTTTGGTCATTGGTTCAAAAAATATTTCACATTAACATTAAAAAATATTTTTAAAAATATTTATTTTAACTTCAAAACACTTGAAATTTAATTATATTTTTATTTTTTTATTTAATAATTTTTTCTAGTTATATAATTTGAATCTTTGAATTTTATGTGTGAATTATATATTATAGAACTTTTAATTTTAAATTTTAGAATTATATATGTATATATATATATATAATTTAAAGTAAAAATAAAAAAATTATGAACCGAGTACCCGTGACCCGAAAATATATGTACCCGGGTTTTATGGGTACCCGACTTACAGGTACTCGATTGTCATGGCTGGGCACGAGCCGACATTTTAGTACCCGAAATTTCAAGTACCTGATGTATCGGGTACCCGGTTTTGAACACCCCTACTCTTATTAAACAAAAATGGTTTGTGACATGATATAATAATAGCATTAGTCCCTAAAAGTTATACATTATATCAAATTAGTCATAATTGAAAATAATTTAATAAATTCTCTATATTTAAATATCCTATTAATTTGCCCTATTTTAATTTAAAATGATTTAATAATAATTTTTTAAAATATTTAATATTTATTAAATTATTTAAATCAGTTTAATAGATGTGTAAATTTTATAACTAAAACAATTATTATATCATGTCACATCATTATTTTCATTAAATTAACTATCAAATTTAACAATAAGGTATCAAAATAAAAATAAAATATAAGATTATATATAATTTTAAAAAATAGTTGAATGATTAAAATAAAATTATGAGAATAATTGAGGTAGCAAAATAGGTAGTTTACTCTATTAATTAAGTTGAAGAAGGTACAAAACCTGCAGCGTACATGATAAGAACAAACAAACGCCTCTAACAAGGGATGGGTGAAATCGTACCCAATCCAAAAATTTTATATCTTTCATTCAAAACTTGATTTGACTAGAATTTAGAGTAATTTAATATGACCCAAGATCTAATCCAACCTTTGAAAAAAAATCTGATTTCGACTCGACCTAACATGAAATAATATTAAATTATTAATTTTATTCAATAAAATAGAGACTTAATTGAAAAAAAAATAACATAAATAAGGATATTATTGTAACCATCTCTAAATATATAAGGCATAATTATATTATTTTTTGGGTTAGCTCAGGTCGGATGTTTTTCACCTTAAACTCCAACTCGACCCGAACTTATTCTCTAAAAAACCCGACCCAACTTGACACGAACCCAATTTAAAAAAACCCCGACCCAATCAGGTCGGGTTGGGTTAGAACCCGTCGAGTTCGAGTCTCGTACCCAACTCTAGCTATTTGATTTGCATGCTTGTAGAGGTGAACAAAACTTGACTCAACTCGAAAAATCAATTTTCCGAATCGACTCGAATGAGCTTCGAGTTGTAATTTCATAAACTCGCCTAAAAAATTTTAAGTTCATGTCGAGTTATAAAATACAACTCGAATAACTCGAATTGTAACTAGAATTACTCAAAATTTTTAGTAATTAGTAGAATAGTTTTTAAGTTTAAGTCGATACCCTCAACTCTTTATGATATATGTATATCACATATGAAAAAAATATGAAGAAATATATATATATTGTATATGGTTATAAAAAATCATTTAAATTGGAATCAAATAATATCATAATATTATAAAAATTTACTATTAAATTTAAACATAAGCTAGAAAACTCGATTCGAAAAATTTTTAAATCAATTTTGAGTTATAAAATAAAAATTGTCAAATTGATTAACTCAATTTTTTTAATTCAACCTGATTGGACTGCTCCATCATCTCAAACTCCAGATCTTATGTTTAAAAAACCAAAAAAAGTGATACAATGATGTGAAAATGTGTGTTTGTGTACTGTGTGGGATTGCTCCCTAAGTCCTAATGATGTTGGATATTATATTAAAGAGTGAATTTATAAAATTTTAAAAGAAAACAAGTTAATAAAATTTTAGATAAAAACAGAGAAACAAGTTCATAAAATTTTAGATAAAGACAAAAATATATTATTGATAAATTATATATAAAAATTAAAATATAAGAAAATTTAAAAATTTCAGAAGAAAACTTTCTTGGTCCGTCTCGTTCCATCCATTCTGCTCCTAAATTTGAACCCTCAACAAGTGACTGAAATTCATGGGACTCACAAGCCCTTCCGATGCACCGAACAGAGTTAGCGCTGCCAACTCCGAAGCTCTCTGCGTCGGATGAAACCGGTCCCAAAACAAGTATTCATCGCGATTCGAGCAAAAGCTGGCCGTTTGATTGCACGGGTAAGTCCCATTTCCGCAACAAGCTGATGAAGTATCCTTGAAACCTGAATCACAGTCATGGTGAGAAAATGCACCTAATAACTCCTTGGATAAACTACACGTTTAGAACTCAATTATCACTTTTGTTTTGTTTTGATCGTCTACTTATTTTTTCTTCAAAAATCACACCTTAAGTGAGGTTTTGGTTTCAACTTTATTATCAACCGTTAAAAATTTAACGATGATATTAACTTGTCACTATAAGATAATACTGTGTCGTCATTGAAAAAATTTTAAAAAAATATCACGTCAACAATTTTGTTACTTTTTTAACGACAGATGACAAAAATAAAACCAAAACATAACGTTAGCTATGATTTAAAAAAAATAGTTAGCATGGGCCGAACACAATAGAGACATGTGGAGTACAATGCCCCCAAAAGTTTGAAAAATATAATTTCAACCCTTAAATTAAAAAAATAATAATTTATCCCTACAAAATTTTTAGAAATTCAAATCAAGCTTTTAAAATTTTGAATGTTCTTAACTAAACCCTACCATAATTTTTAAAAATTCTCATTAAGCCTCTCAAAATTTTAAAAAATTTAGTTAGACCCCAATTTTTTTGAAAAAAAATGTAAATTGAAACTTTCAAAATTTTAGTTTAAACCTCTAAATTTTTTGAAGTTTTAAGTCGACTCCTCTAAACTCTATCACCAAGTTCCACCGTCGATAGTTAGGAGACCAAAACAAAACAAAAGTGATAATCGAGATGCTAAAGTGAAGTATACCCTGACTCCTTTTACAATTGAGTTTTGAAAGAGGACATGCAATATGGTTACCAAAGGCGAGCATATCTTCCATCATAGTAGTGGTCATCAAATACGTATTTGCAAGCGAATAGCGTAAATCGTCAACTTGGGAGCTAAACTTTTGTAGTAAGACCACAGCCTCCGTATAGAACGCTTGTGCAAACTGCTGTGCCGGTTCAAAGCAGCTATCGTTATGGTACACTTGAGTGCTGAAAACAGCTCGCGCAAATGGGGTGCAGCCAATTGGGGGAACGGCTAAGATGCCAAAAGTCCGGGCGCCAAGCTGGTACAGAGCCTGAAAGCCAAACCACAATAGATGGTAATGACTTACTGCTTTACAGGAAATACTTTTGAAGGTCCAAAATTCGCATGTCGAACCTTTAAGTGGTTTTCATATGTGGAAACCAGGGCGGCGTTGAACTCTGGTACGGTCATCGATGGTGGTAGGGTGAGGTTAAGCAGATACTCGAAGATGTCATTGCTTCCGATACTTATAAGAAATAATGCTTTGGAAAGAATGGCATCGGTTCGTGCATCACTTCCCGTCATGTTTGTGATGTTTGAACGAACGCTTGAAAATTGCCGGATCTGCTCCTCCAAGGATATCACCTTTTTCTGCACATCATGCATGCATATACACAATTGCAGACCTAAAATTAAGCTGAACTAAAATGATGAAAGAAAGTTTAAAAACTCATATTGTGGGGGATTTATGTATGCAAATAAGCAGCGTATAATTAGTGTTTGAAGAGGAACTAAATTGTAGGTAATGGTGTGGAATGTTGACAAAACGCTCACGTAGTTATACTGTCCAGTAGTGTTCAAAATGCCGGATCCTCCTGAAGCAAAGTTGGCTCCCTTTAGTATATTCTTCTTGAAAGTCGACGGATTCCGGACAAGACGGAGAAAAGGTTGTGGACTCCTCCTTAGACCCAACAGCATCACTAAGAAAAAAACATGTCATCAATAATTAACAAAAACAAAGGAAAGCAAAAGAAAATTGTTGACGATAACATTTAGATTGTGACAGTTGTAGACGGTTCATTCTTTTTAATTTTGGATGAAAAATTTTAGTCGATTATTCATGGTGGAATTGTAGACAGTCCTCGTCTTTCTGTTTTGGAAATAAGTAGAATGTAAGAGAGAAAGAGAGAAAAATCTTCCTTTTTAGCTATGCGTGGTGGCTTATATTACTAACACTTGATGCTTATTTACTCCTAATATTATAGTTAGGTCTAAGGTTATGATGACTACTCATAAGTTAAATGAGTGAATAAAATTTATCTGACAATAGAATATATGGGTCTACCAATAGTTACATCTAAGGATGGACGCATAATTTTTATGTTAGGAATGATAAACCCTTAAAATTTTAGGGGACAAAAACAAATTATAAATAAAAAGTATAAAAAATATTAAAGATATGATAATTTAAAATTAAAAAAACAACTGCGAGGTCTACTTTCCTTATTTTATTTCCGATAACATCATGGGATGATAAGTGATTTGAAGTGTAACCTAACATGACATGCGGGGGAAGTATAACAAAAGTGAAGGTAAATTAATTAATATGATGGATGTTGTTGTACCGATTTCATCAGCAGTGTTAAGGCCATTGCTGAACCTCCCCGTCGGTTCCGAGTAAGGGAAATCCACACCGTTGAAAGGAACATCCGCCCTTGCTTGGCACTCAGGTATCAAGTCATTAGTACCGACGTCAAGAGTCGAGTCTCCGAAGATGTAGACGGCAGGTGGTGGTGATGGTGCTGCCTCAGCCGATACGGCAAGTGACAGTAAAACAACAAGGAAACTTGAAACATAACTCTTTGCCATGAGACAGTGGCTGTTCAACCTAAAGATCAAATTAGTTTTCTTTCTCGCCTACTCTTATGAAATTAAAACTTATGGTCGAGTATTTATATACGTTGAATGTAGTGTGAAAAACCAACTAAAGATAATGGGGTCATTGTTTGATCCAACCTGTAAGACAATGATCATCCGGGCGGAATTTCGAAGTAGAATAATTCCGAATCACAAAACCCTTCATTTTAAGGGGGAAAAATGACTTATTTATTAGGGATTTTTCAGAATTAAACGTCATCCCATTACCATTGAAAAGGGTAAATTACGAGCTCAATATTTAAACTGTCAATTTTAGTCTGTTTTAGTACTTAATTTTTTAATTTTTTTAAAATCATATCTAACATTTAATTTTTGTTTCATTTTAGTACTCGCCGTTAAAAACATACAGGTGATTTTCATGTGACAACTTTTTTATGGGTAAATTGCATCATTCATTACTCAACTATATTTTTACTCCTATTTTGGTTACTAAATATTATTATTTTTTATTTAATTACTACGGTCAAATCACTCCTAATTTAGTGACTATAACTTTCAATTTTTTTAATTATATATCAATAAAATAATAATAAAAATGTCATGTCACAAAAATTATTAATAAAATAAATTAGAATGATTAAAATATGAGCAATTTGAAAGTTAAGTAGTTAAATTGAAAATTTTTAAACTTTAGTACCAAAATATGAGTGAAAAGATAGTTGCGTGACGAATTATGTAATTTACCTATAAAAAATGCAGTATCGTTTCTAACAGCAATGTACTAAAATAAAACAAAAACTAAACGTTAGATATGATTTTGAAAAATCTAAAGTTTAGGTAGTAAAACAAACCAAAAATTAATAGTGTAGATACTAAAAATGTGATTTATCCTTAAAAAATAGAAACATTAAAATTTATCAAAGTCGTTGGGAAGGGAAGAAATAATTAATCATTTATCGGTTGGTGGAAAAACTTATGTGGCAACACTTATGTATGTCTTAATTAGATTTAGCTTATTCGGAGAGAATCACCTTCCAACGTCGAATCTCTATGTTGTTTGGTGTCCTCTATTGGTATATGCCATCTCCTTCTTGCTTCCAAAATATATAATATATTCACAGCTCACCCAACAACAATGAATTAATTAGTTTTCCTTGTATTTTTCAAAATTCATAAATATATATTATCTATTTATTATATTTATAAAAGTAAGAAACATATTACAACTGTATATAGGTGATTGTCGAAGACATATTTTATCAATAAATGTAGAATATAATGATAAAATTGTAAGCAGTTATTGTAAACTGCTGCTGCCCATTAAAGGTGTTCATAGCCGCTTCCCATTATGCACGTTCCCACTTTGGAAGTTCCTTTGTGGACGTGGGGATATGGGCTGGTTTTAGGTGATAATTTATGGCCAAACCACACGATAAATATGAGGTTAAGCACCAACACAACACATTCCAAAGCGTTTTATTTGAGAGCTTTTAGAAATCTACTCCATTAAGTGAGGTTTTAAGTGCTTAGAAGATCCTTGGTTATTCTAGCTTTTGTGCAGCCAAGTTCAAAGTGCTCAACGGTGGTTCGTGGTGGTCGAAAGTGGTTCGACATATGTCTGATAACATAGTATATATCCTTGAATTAACCAATAAGAACTTTAAGATCTGGAAGAAGAATATTCTTCTTCAATTGGGGTGTTTCGAACCAACACTCAAGTTTCTTGTTGATGTTCGTGGCTCAATTGAGCATTATAAGAATGTACAAGAAATATTAATGGCTATTGAAAAGTAGTTCAAAACTTCTCAAAAATCTTTGGCTAGCACATTGATTATGAGGTTCACGTTCATGAGGCTCACTATTGTGAAAGGCGAACGTGATCACATAAAAAATATATTAGATTTAGCAGCTCGACTTAAAGCATTGGAGGTTAAAATGTTTGACTCTTTCTTAGTGTACTTTATATTGAAAACTCTTCCATCTCAGTATGGGCCATTTAAGATATCCTATAACACACATAAGGATGAATGGTCTATTGATGAACTTTTGACCATGTATGATCAAGAGGAGGGTAGACTCATACTGGAGATGAGAGAGAGTGCACTGACAGTTACTCAGGGAAAGAAATCAGTCCAAACAAAGCCAAAAGGGAAGGTTAAAATCCAACCTTAATCTAATATCAAGAAAGAGTTCAAGTGTTTCTTTTGTTAAAAGAAGGGACACCTAAGGAAGGACTATATCAAGTTCAAGAGCTGGCTTGAAAAGAAAGGTAAATCAATCTCACTCGTTTGCTTTGAGTAAAATATGGTTGATATTAATTATAACACATGGTGGATTGATTCTGGTTCTACAATCCACGTCTTGAATTCTTTACAAGGATTAAGAAACCTGAGAAAATTAGTAAGAGCTGAGCGATACATCTATTCAAGAAATAAGATGCAATCACATATGGAAGCTATTCAGACCTGCGAATTAGTGCTTAGTAGTGGGTTTGTTTTAATTTTAGAAAAGACTTTTTATATTTCAAGTTTTTCTAGAAATTTAATTTCTTCTTCAAGACTTGCACCATTGGGGTATTGTTTTAATTTTTCAAACAATGCATTCACTTTATTTTATAAATTAGAAATTGTTGGAAATGGAATTTTATCTTATGATCTTTACTCTTTAAATTTACAAAATGATGTCACTCATAATGTCATACACACTCAAATTGGTTTTAAGCGTTGTGTTATAAATGAAGATTCCTCTATTTTGTGGCATCTGAGATTATGACATGTCTCCATTGAAAGGATAAAGAGATTAGTAAATGATAGGGTACTTAGTATCTTAGATTTTTTTAATTTCGACACTTGTATAGACTGCAGTAAGGGTAAGCAGATTAACAAGTTAAAGAAAGGATCCAAGAGGAGTTCGACCATATAGGAAATCATCCATTCTGATATTTGTTGCCTAGATATGGATGTACAAGGTCAGAAGAACTTCATCACTTTTATTAATGATTACTCACGATATATGTATCTCTACATGCTTCATCATAAAAGCAAAGCATTAGAAGCCTTTAAAGTTTTCAATGCTGAAGCAGAGAAACAATACAATAAGTAAATTAAGACAGTATGAACTGATAGAGGTGGTGAGTATTATGGTAGATATACCAAAGATAGACAAGCACCTGGTCCATTTGTGAAATTTCTTCAAGATAACGATATAGTTGCCCAATACACCATTCCAGGATCACCTGATCAAAATGGTGTTGTGAAAAGATGAAACCAAACTTTAATGGATGTGGTGAGAAGTATTCTTAGTAGCTCTAAGCTATCTAAGTCTTTATGGGTTGAAGCTATCAAAATGACTGTGTATATATTAAATTGAGTTCCAACCAATGTCGTCCCAACGACACCTTTTGAGTTGTTTAAAGTTTGGAAATTGAGTTTGCGATATATACGCATAAGGGGATGCCTATCTGAAGTGAGAATTTATAACCCACAAGAAAAGAAACTAGATCTGAGGACCATTAGTGGGTATTTCATTGAATATGTTGAAAGGTCCAAAGGATACAAATTCTATTGTCAATCACATAGCACTAGAATTATGTAATCAAGAAATACAAAATTTCTTGCGTATGACTCAATTAGTGGGAGTGATCTACCTCAGGACTCAATTCATGTAGACCAACATTCCACTTCAAGTGAGAGATTGGTTATCATACAAAGTATCCCTAAAGTACAATCGTGTGTTGAACAACCAATCAATAAAATTCCACAAGCTGCTGAAAATATTCTAGTAGATCAAGTTGTTCAATAAATTCCAAGAATTATTGAACAACTAGTTGAACAACATGATCCACAAGAAAATGTTGATTCAACATTAAGATGGTCTACTTGAGAAAGAAAACCAGCAATTTTTAATGACTACATTGTGTATCTACATGAGTCTGACTTTAATGTTGGAGTTGAAAATGATACATAGTCATTTCACAAGCCATTTGCTACAATGAATTAAATTATGGTATAATGTTATGAAATATGAGATGAGTTCTATGAAAAGCAACGATGTTTAGAATCTTGTACCGCTTTCTAATGGTGTAAAAGCCATTGAATGTAAATGGGTCTTTAAAACAAAAAGAGACTCAATATGCAACATTGAAAGATATAAAGCAAGACTCGTTGCAAAGGGTTTCACTCAACGTGAAGGAATCAATTACACTAAGACTTTTATTCCAGTATCTAAAAAAGATTCCTTACGCATCGTGTTAGCATTAATATCTCATTTTGACCTTGAGTTACAACAAATAGATGTGAAAACTGCATTTCTCAATGGTGACTTAGAGAAAGAGGTTTACATGAAACAACCTGAAGGATTATCCTTTAGTGATGGTGAACACTTGGTATGTAAGTTGAAAAAAAAATCAATATATGGATTGAAACAAGCCTCCTGACAATGGTATTTAAAATTCCATGAAGTTATATCTTCATTTGGTTTTGTTGAGAACATCATGGACTAATGTATATAACAGAAGGTCGGTGGGAGTAAAATTTGTTTCCTTATCTTATATGTGGATGACATTTTACTTCCAACTAAGGATAGGGGTTTATTACATGGGGTGAAACAATTTTTTTGAACTTATATTTTGATATAACAAGTATTTGTAAAATTGATTTTGGACTTAATCAAACATTTAAAAAATAATTCAAAATCCAAAATATATTGAAAATATGTTTTCTAAATTGTTTTATATATGTGAAGTGTTTTTTAGTTAATTAAAACATGTTTAAAGTGTTTAAAGTTTTTTAAGTATGAAAAATACTATTTAGTCACTATTTGGAACTGTTCATACATAGGTACTGTTCATAGTTTGAAAACTTTGTAAGAGTTTGAAAAATTTTATTAATAGTTTTGAAACTTTACAAAAGTTTCGAAACTTTGCACCGATAAAATGTTTTAATGGCTCGATTTATTAATATTTTTAAGTAAGAGTTTCAAAACTTTCATCA